CCAACAAAGAACAACTGAGCGGCCCTCCGTCAGAGGCATCTAGCAAGTGGGCGGTCCAACTGAGCGGGCGTTAGAACTAGAACTTTGAGCGGCTGTAGCTCGCTCCTCGCTCGCTGTGGAGTCGCGAGAGTGGGATAGTCTCTAGCTTGGGGCTGTACTACTTGCACAAGGAAGGACGACCATGTACTACTCGAGCGCGGGGGCTGTCTTTAACTGCCTTAGCACAACGTTAGGCACGAAGCCGTTGGGAGCCACCCACCTCATGGTAAATGAAAATGTGGTTAATTCATCTGTGAGGCGGGCACCAGGGGGCTTCGCCTCAAGCGACTGTGATATACGTATAGGAATACATCCATATCTTATTTAAGTATTTGTATAGCATAGTGTGTGTGTAAATAAGGCCTGGACTCGAACTTTAAGCTAAGTATGCCACTGAAGACTAAACTTGTTAGAAAGACTGGCCAGTTTTGGAAGAATGTGGTACTCTGGGGTGGATAGTGCCAAATAAAGTAGTCGTTTCGCGAGGCACTCTATTCCATAAGGGATAAGTGTGGAATTGTATGGGTATAAAAATGTCTATAATTACATTGAAGTATCGAGCTCGTACATACTATTCAATCTGGGCACTGCAATATGCTAGCATTGATTGAATAAATCTGGATGGCGTCCCAAGGGAAACCGAGCCATTTCAATACACTGATGTTATCTGCCTAGGGGATCAAGCTCAAGAGCTAAAAAATAAACTTGCTCCACTTCAAGCGAATTCCTGTCGACACACTCCACAGGAATTCGCTGAAACTCGCTTACAGTCCAGACTCTAACTTCCTCCACTGCTGCTTCAAGCTCCACCATTTGTAACTTTCAATGTTGAGATTTCGAATTTACATAACTCAGAAGGGGGAAATTGAATGGAGTTGTAAGCGGGAAGCTCTTCTTCAGGTTAATCACACCTCCCAGTTCGAAAAATTGGATGCTTCTAATGTAATCAGGTATACTCCGTACGAATATGGCAGTGTTATGCACTACGGGGCAAATGCGTCAGTTTTTTTCTAAATTGTCTAGTCTGTCTATGATTGATAGTATGCCAGCCAGGACTAATGGATCTTTTCAGTTTTGTTAAAGAAGAGAAGAAAGATGAAATCACTATCATGCCGAAAAAAAAGAGGTATCTTCGGACAATCGGTTCACCAATTCCATCATTATACGACATGATGATGGTCAACAAATATTATAACTGCAGCGGTGTGTTTAATTTTGATAATCACCTTTGCTTCAAAACAACTGCGCACTCACGTCCGAAGACCATCCTTGCAATGTGTTGGACTCTGTGTCGCAGTCAATGTGCAATTGAGATGCAGTATGTTACCTTTCCCCCTCGAAAATTCACGGGAAGGGGACTGTAGGGTAACAGTACTATAGCGCCGTCTCCGTACTCCCCGATTACGTGACATCTTGACTGGGTCTACGGACAACTTGAACTCAATCCCTTTGAACGCGTCGATCTTCTCTTTTTCTCTGCACTCTCTCGTCCGCATGGCACTCTATGGCCGTTGTGACTTCGCTCACTCCAGCTTTTCACCGAAT